GTGATAAACTTCTTGTATATACATGTTCATGTACATTTGAAAGTATTTCTATAAATGCATGGATGTAACATTTGCTCAGTTGTATTTCCATTGGCAATATTGGTCGCTACTTTCAAATTATTTCTTCTTTTTTTCAAAGACCTTTTTTCTCATATCCTTAAAAATATTATATATTGGCATGTGGTATCTCCTTGATTTAATTTACATTCATTTACTTTGTAATGAAGTGAACATCTGAATTTAATTTGCTAGACGTTAGTATTTCTTTGTTAAATTCTCAATTCCCTTTATTTACACATGCAGTTCTTTGAGATGAGAAAGCCTTTTATGTATTATGAAGATAATACATTTATATTAATATTTTCCCCTAATCCGTGAATTGTATTATAACTTCACTATGAAATATTTAAGATTTAGAATTATTTATTTTAATTAACCTTCATAGTGCTAAGGACTGAACCCAGGGTGACACGCATGCTACCCAAGAGCTCTGCCCCTGAACTCTCCCTTGAGCAATTTAGCATTGATTTTTATGCAGACAGTTGATTAATTTCTCTTAAAACTTTCTAAGGTCTGTGAATTTCTCTCTGGTCTGTGAGTTAAGCATAGTCTTATATTTTCTTTTAGCACTTTCATAGAATATACAGATTTTTCTCCTTGTCAACGTTAGCTAAGTAATGCAGATGACAACCATTTACATAGCATTTACATTGGGTATTATCAGTAATCTAGAAATGATTTAAAATATGGGAGAATGTATGTAGGCTACATGGAAATGCTAAGCAATTTTATGGAAGGTACTTGTGCATCACATATTTTGTATCCATGGGGAGTGGGAGGTCCTTGACCCACTCCTAACAGATAGATACCTACGGCTCTATACATATATTTAATGGTTCTGAGACAATCTGAATTCTATTCTTCTTCATAATACAGAGTAGGAGTATTCTTCTGGTGGATATTTATTTTATTTTTTCCATACTATTTAATTAAAATACCACTGTAACTAATTTGAATAGAAAAGAAAAGTGTTGAAACAGATCAGGTATAAAAATAAGTTAGCCTAGGGTCAGAACTACATGAGCATTTGTTGTGCCTTAATGAAGATTTGTTGTATTTTGATACCCAGTAGGGTTCATTTCCATCCTTTACTGTTCTTTTTCAAATAGCTTGTTAGTTTCCATAAAATATGTGGGTGAGATTTTAATCTAGATTACCTGTATTTTTCGTAAGTTAAATTTGGGTAAACTGAAATTTACAGTCATTTGGGAGCATGAGTAGCTTTATAACATCAAAGATTTTAATTCAGGAATATTATATGGCATTATATTTGTGTTCTTGTATTTCTGAGTTCTTCACTTTATTTTATAGGGAAGGAAAGTTTTGCACATTTATAGGTAATACTGAATATTTTATTAATTTATTTGTTGTATTTTCTAAAACTGTTGATCTTTAAAAATTAACATTGTTGGGGCTGGGGATTTAGCTCAGCGGCAAAGCGCCTGCCTGGCAAGCGCAAGGTCGTGAGTTCAGTTCCCGGTACCGGAGAAAAACCAAAAAAAAAAAAAAAAAAAATTAACATTGTTTACAGTACTCTGACTAGTTTTAATAATTTTTCTTTTCAATTTGTTGGACTTTACAAGTAAATGATATTTTAACCTGGAAATAATAGGTTATGACTTTTTCAATTATTTTCAGCTTTTTTCTGCCTGTGCATATAATTTACCAGACTATTAGCAAGCTAAAGATGAAAAATATCTTACATTATTTGTTTTCTAGAGGACGTGTTGGTATAGCCATCTGATTACTAGATGTTGCAAAATTGTTATTTTCTAATACGCAGTCTTACAGGTTTTGTTTGTTTTACATGATTTCAGAATATTATAAAATGAACCAGCCTAACTTGAGGGGAGAATTTGTTTGATAACAGTGTTTAAGATCCTGAAAAATTAGGAAAATGTTCATTTAAAAATTTTTTCTATATTTTACATATGCACACATATGCACATGTACAAACACACTTTTACTATTACATCTTTCGATATTCTTGTACTTTGGCAGAAGTATGTGAGTGGCCAGTACTAAAGGGAAAATTTCCAGTTATACAGCTAGTGGTTTCCAGGCAAGGCATGTCTGACCTAGGTCTTGATACATTTGTGTGTGTATGGGTGTGTGTGTGTGTGTGTGTGTGTGTGTGTGTGTGGTGTTGTTGAAGTTTACTTCCCTAGACGTGTTTCTTCAAAACACTATCTGCCTGTCTGCTTATCTGTCTACTTTTTGTAGTTGTGTGTTCTTTTATTTTTTATTTTTTTTTGGTTTTTCTCTGGTACCTGGAACCGAACTCATGACCTTGCGCTTGCCAGGCAGGCGCTTTGCCACTGAGCTAAATCCCCAGCCCCTATGTTCTTCTATTTGGAATACACTTTCTCCTTTTCTGCAGTTAAGTGTAGGAATTCCTGTTCGTTCTTTGAGATTCAAGTCAAGCATCATCCCTTCCACAGAATCTTTCTTTTCTTAGGCACTGAAAAAGAATTGACTTGATATAATCCTCTGTTACATCAGCTGCCATTCACATTACACAGTAGTTGTTTATTTTAATTTCTGTGTTCCTTCAGAGCTGTGAACTGCTTAAGACTATGCTTCCACAATGTCTAGCAGAGAGTTGGTGCCATGTAACTTTTTGTTGAGTGAATGAATGTGAATAAATGATTACCAAAGATATAAGAGAAGTGAAGGATAAAAAAGGCTAAGAGAAAATCTTAAGTCTTACAGTTTAAGGATAATACTAGAGAATTCTATGAGAGAGGCTTCATAAGCATATATTCTAAAAGTTTCTTAAAAGTGCTAACTCCAAAGTATAGGAAGTATGAAAAAATCGGATGAATGTTTAAATTTTAAAAAATTTATTACAGTAAAAGGCACGTTGCCATTAATCTCACTCAGAATGCTCTCCCTTGCTTCAGACACATTTATTCCATTTCTCTTGCCCTGTTTTTGTCAGTATCTTCAGTCCACTGTGGCAGCGCCTTGACGTCCTGAATCAGTTCAGAATTTATCTTCTGTGGTCATTTTGATGCAGCAGAAGAGCCAGAAACTGCACAGTGCTAGATGGGCGAATCAGGTGATGAGGGTGCACGGTAATGTTTTCATGTGCCTTTCTGCTGAGTGGCACTTACGGCAGCTGTCACCATCATAAAGAGATGTGAAACAGAACTCCCAGAACCTGTGACAAAGTGGCAAGAATGATGGGTTGGTGTGCTGGGAGCAAGGTGGAGTATTTTGAGGGGGATTAATGGCAACCTGTCTTCTATTGTAATAATTTTTAAAAAATGTAAATATTCACCATACGTTCAATCACATTTAGCACACACACACATTTTGATGCAGTAATGTTTGCTATGGTGGAGAAACGTGGTAGAGACCAAGCAAAGATCCAAGTGGCACGAGCCTATGAAAATATGTTAAAAGTCAGTAAGAAAAGCAGTACCCACTTAGGTACAATCCCTACTAAGGATATGATTTTGAGAAGTATATACAATTAGAAACCACACCGTATTTGCTTCTGTGTAAACAATATGTATTCTTGGATTACAGATTATCGTGTATAAAATACAAAGCTGGGTGTGATTTTGCGTAATCGTACACTCTGGAAGGATGATGCAGGAGAATCTGAAGATCAAGTTCACCCTGGCTAACTTAGTGACTTAATGAGAACCTGTTTCAAATTTTTTAAAAAAAGACCTGGGGATGTAGGTTTGTTTAAGGCCCTGTGTTCAATCCCCAGTATCACCAAAAAAAAAAAAAAAAGGAGACGAAGAGGAAGAAAAAAAGCCAGTTTTCTAGTGATAATGCATGCATGTAAGACTTACCTGGAATAGAAGGGCCAGGTTTATCTGGAATAGCAGGACTAGGCAATAAACATAAATTCATCTTCCGCTTTCTGTTCTGCTAATTTTTTTTTTTAAGTAGTTTTTTTTTTTTTTTTTTCCTTTTTGCGGTACTGGAGATTGAATCAGGGGTGCTCTATCACTGAGCTACATTCCAAGCCCTTCCCAAACTTATAATCTTTGTGCACGCGTGCACGTGTGTATGTGTGTAAATTTTCAGAAGTTAAAGGAGTTTACAGAGCTTTTTCAGGCACAGTTGCACAGTTTAGATCCTTGTTTGTAGTAAAACAAGTTTTAATTGAAAATGTCAGTTTTTGCCATAGCTACTAATTAGACTTGATGAATTATGCATGTCTGTAAATATTCTTAAATATTGAGAGTGATTTGCAAGTAATACAAGTATTTCAGCTTAAATAAGGACAGTAAAATTTCCTATGATGAAATATGAATGATTTGGGTCAGAAATAAAGAGTTGTGAATTTCCTATTCTTTCAGCCACTTTTGAGCAGCATTTTGATAGCCATTTTATAGAAAGCCCCAATTAAATTTTAACTTCAATCTGTATACACATAATGTAAGAGATGACAGGTGAGAGCTGTTTAACATAGCCCGGGATAATCTACGGTAGAAATTCGTTTCAGTGATTCTACGATTAAAATGTAATTCTAGTATTGACACCTTACACCCTCGGGGCTGGCTTGAGCCCTGTCAGGAAATAGGCCCCGTGTGAGTGTTTGCCGAGGAAGCTTCAATATGCTTTGGCTTCATTAGCAAGGAGCAGAGCGCTGCTGTTCACATGGTATGTTCTGAGTGCATGAAAGGTGATGAATATTGCTCTTCAGATAATGTATTCTGTGGCCACCCTTGTTTCCTAAATTATTAAAATCCATAAAAATGACATTTTAAGGTTAATGTTATTTTTATCCTGGTTCAGTTTTCCTTTTCTTAATGTCACTGTTCATTTTAAAGCCAAAACAGTTACTTAGAACACATTTATCACACTGATTGTTTTTTAAAATACAGACTTCTGGATCGCTGGAAGTCTTTTGATGTTTTGCATTCAGAATGCCGTCTTTTCTGTCTTATCATTGCATTTTTGGCCTCTCGCTACAGGTTTTCAGCACTTACTCGAACGAAGACTACGACCGGCGAAACGATGAAGTTGACCCTGTGGCCGCCTCTGCCGAGTATGAACTGGAAAAGCGGGTAGAGAAGCTGGAGCTTTTCCCGGTGGAGCTGGAGAAAGGTACTCAGCGACACATGTAACCGGGGCAGCTGCACTGCGCTGCTTCCAGCATCGCTGTGTGGCGGTGTTAGCGACGCAGGGTGTTTTCTGAAGTGGAGCCTTTCTCTAAGGGCTGGGTAAAGTTTTAACTCACGCATGGCTGATTTACTATCTTTAGAAATTAGTCGACGTGGACTCTGGGTAGATGACAGATCCAAAGATTTCTGCATCTCTTCCACTCCAAACTCAGCCCCATCTGCTCTAGCTCAGCTGGAGTGCTGGTGAAGGTGGGGAGGTATGGGTGAGTCTAGACCTAGAGTGGTTGGTGCAGGCCTGAGCCTGGAGCAAGCCAGGCCAACCAAGCGCCTTGGGCAGAAAGTTGTTTTGTCTGCTGGAGGAGTTGTGTTTTGTTTTTGGTTTTTGGTATAGCGAGAAGTCATGATCTGGCCCAGAGTGTGGTGGGAAGGGAAAAATGCCTTCTGAATTATGAACATTTAGCTGGAAGGCCGTGTGTTCCAGGAGAACTTAGCTAATAGGCCTCTGTCTGTGAGGGCAGAGGCTCTGAGGGAGTCAGAAGGGCTTTCCGCCGACCTCTGTCTCCCTGGAATGATGGCCTTCCTGCCATGTAACCACTGCCCATGTGCTGGGAGAGGCTGTGTTTGTCTTGGTGTAAGAGGGGTGCCCAGGAACAGGCTGTGACCCAGTGAACTGAAAAAACAACCCTGCTGAGAGGGCTTTGGAATAAAGAGATGATAAATTGAATAAGAGAAACAAAAGAAAACTTACTCATGGATATTCAAATGTGGCTTTAGCAAGGCTTTCTTAAGCAAATCAGCAAGCAGCAGCAATACTGGCCAGCTTTTCCTTTGCTGAACAAAATCCCCAGCTGGCCTAACTTTAGGGCCGAGGGGCTTGATTGGCTCATGGCTTCAGAGGTCCCAGGTTATTGTAGCTGTGAACGGGAAGGCGAAGGGACACAGTTACAGCAACGAACAGCAAACTGACCCCACGCTTGGGTATAGGCTGGGGAAATCCCAATACTCAAAAATAAAGTAGAAACCTTGCAAAATACCAGGCAAAAAAATCTCAACACTTACGTACATGTAGCAACTCTCCATGATGAATATAATCATTATGCACTACCACTCCATACTAATAAAAGTAAAATTAAAAGTCTCAATGCAAACACAGGCCAAGGCATTTGAAAGGGCAGAGTGACAAGACTAGTGGCAGACTTCTTTGCAGGACCAGAAGCAAGGAGATGTTGCTATAATTTAATAGGCCACTGAGAATGAAAAGGACAGCGATCTGGGAATCCATGTCCATGCCAGATTGCATTTACCTAACCGGGGAAAGAAATGTATTTGCTGATGTGTAAGATCAGTAGACTACATACTTTACGCGTATAATTTACTGTCCAGTTAGCAGAGAACAAAGAAGTCAAAGAACAGCTTGTTCAAAACAGTATAGGTGAGAAAAAAGGTGAAAATTACATGAGAATTAAGCATAAAACTACATGAGGAAAGAAGCTGTGAAGAAAACCAGTTTTTAAATACATTTGACTAGTTACTTTCATTAAAAGATATTTTCTTTTGAAAGTGTTGAAATAATGGTGCTTGCATTTTTCGTACATTTAAGAATGTAAAACCCATTCTTAGTTTAAAGGTCATACAAAAACAGAAGTGACAGTGGGCTTTGTATTGCTAGTTTTTTGTTTTGTTTTGTTTTGTTTCCAGTACTGGGAATCGAACTCCCGACCTTGCACTTGCCAGGCAGGCGCTGTGCCGCTGAGCTAAATCCCCAGCCCCTGTATTGCTAATAAATACAAAAAATGAGAACAATCCAAATAGTTACCATTCATAGAGTCTATCAAATACAGCATATCTAGTTAATAAAATGTTACACAGCAATGAAAATTGATTAATTACACTTTATGAGCTCTACATGCTATTTTTACAAACGTATAATTGAGGCAAAATAAAGAAGCACATCACAGAAGTCATTTAGTTATAATTTCACTTCTTTAAATTTCTAAACTAGAAAAATTGAACAGCATATGCCGGGCATGGTAGTGCACACCTGTAATCCCAGCACTCCGGGAGCCTCAGGCACTAGGATTGGAAGTTTGAGCCCCGCCTGGGCAACTTAGTGAGTTAGCAAGAGCCTGTCTCAAAAGCAAACAAACAAGCAAACATAAACATTAACGGGTCTGTATTTAACATTTTAATACATTTTACAACATTTCCTTTTGTAATGCAGCTTTGCTGGCCGTTTTATTTGGGCAGCAACATGTGAATTCACCCTGTCGCTAGGAGGAGGGTCAGGGTAGGTGAGGGCGGGACTGCTGGGTCCTTGCCAGGGCAGCCACGGGAATTAGTGGCCTCCAGATGTCTGTTCTGGCTGGCAGGCGCTTGAACTTGACACACGACCCCTGACTAGAGAAGAGCTGAGGTGGCTGCGCACAAGTGTCATTTGGTCTGTGGGGGTCAGTTTTGCTGCCCCTTGTTCTGCCCTTCATCATCGCCTTCCTCGTGGACAGAGTCTGCACTAGAATTCAAGGTAGCTGTAGTTTGCTTTTCCTTTAGCTGGTTTTCAGCCCAGAAAATCTTAATAATTTTCTAGTTAGAGCAATCAAAGGAGTCCTGGAAGGAAGAAAAACAATTTCAGGATGGCCTGAGTCCAGGTAGGAAAATAGATTAAAAACCAAGAAGTAATTTTCACGTAGAGTTGTTACAGGAACTTAATGGCCTGACAGTACAGAGACTTCACATTTGAGAGGAGCCCTTGCATGTAGTGAGTATAGAAAGGTTGCTTACAGCTGCGTGGTGGTTTGGCGTGTGGCAGTTCATCACGAGGAGAAGCCCTGTACGTATAGTGAGTGTGAGCAAGAAGTCAGGCTAAATGCTGATCGCCCTGAGGTTTCATACAGAAGAGAAGCCCATGGCGTTGTCAGTGTGGAGGGGGCCTCTGTGAGCATCTCTGAAACAGCAACAGAGGAGTAGTGTGGGCTAAGGTTAGCTATATGCAATCACTGGAAGGGCTGCAAGAACATAACCTTGATACAACGGGAAAATTCATGTCGGAGAGGAGAAATCCTGCACACATAGCCCGTGTGGAGGAGCCTCCAACACTTACCTAACCTCCACGTGCACAAGAAAACTCATTCTGGCAAGAAATCCTAAAACTGTGCAGTGCATTAGCATGAGAAACCCCTGATGAACTTCAGGGTGTTTATGCCAGAGAAGCAATTTCAGTGAGATACACATGAGAAATCACATGTATGCAAACATTCCAGATGTAATGAATGAGAAAAGTATTTTGTGGTCTCGCATACATTAGTCAGCGTTAAACTTTTCACACTATAGAGATGTACCTGTGCGTAGAATGAACACAAAAATACCTGCAGCAGGGGTTCCTATCAGAACACTCATCCAGGGAGATTCTTCCAACAAGCTGGGCATGGTGGCACGTGCCTGTATTCCCAGCACTCTAGAGGTTGAGGTAGGAGGGTCTCAAATGCAAGCACACTGGGCATCGTAGTAAGACACTGTCTCAAAAATACTTTTTAAAAAGGCTGAGGGTGTAGCTCAGTGTAAATGCCCTTGTTAACCCCGAAAAGATTTTTACCATACAACTGAGCAAAAAATTAATACTCTTGCCAGACAATATTTTTTAACATATCTAGAGTAAAAAGGTAAGACTGTGTTAGTTGTACTTAGAGCAGAAGTTGTACTTGAAGCAAATATTGGTGACAAGTAATAATAAGCTATTTTCAAAGAAATATTAATTGAGTACTCCATGAAGTAAAGATTATTGCTGAAAGTCTTTTAAAAGCATGAGGTGGGCCGGGGATATAGCCTAGTGGTGCAGTGCCTGCCTGTCAAGTGCAAGGTCCCGAGTTCAATTCCCAGTACCCCGCCCCCTAAAAAGCATGAAGTATGTAGACTAGTTTTCCTGTAATCACTATTAACACCATTAGTCTATCACTACTAACCTATTTTTATGCTGTTTTTTATACTGTAATTATCATTGATAAAAGTTGATAAACCATAATTACAAAGACTTTGAGGTTATAGAAAATAACCTTGAATGCTAACCAAAAAATTTAGTATATAAAGTAGTGTGTCTTTTATTTCATCAGTGTTAGTCTGTGTATATATGTTCATGGTAGGGACAAATGGGAATATGATTTATAAGTGAATTTTAAAAAGCCCTGCAGTATTCCTCACAGGGCCAAACAGTGAAAATAAAGGTAAGTGGCTGTCAACAGAGAGAGGGTTTATTGTGTTGTGGTGACATCCACCATGAAGTATTATGCAGTCATTAGAACTGCTTTAGAGTTATGTTAGTTGATGATATCTGTGTCTTAATCACTTTTCTTCATTGCTGGGGCAAAATAGCCAGCACCCACAACTTAAAAGAGGAGAGGTTTATTTTGACTCACAGTTTACAGAGATTTCAGTTCATAATCTGCTGGTTCCAAGGAGCAACAGCATGGCGGAAGGGTCTGGGTGCAGGAGCACTGCTGTCCTCATGGCGTCCAGGAAACAGAGAGAACCAAGGGATGAGCTGGGAAGGGAAGCATAACCTTCCAGGTCACGCCCACAGTGGTCCTTGTCTTCTTGCCGGGCCCCCTCTTGATAGCAAGTCAACTGTAACACTCCCAAGTCCAGTCATCTTCCAGAGGTCCAACCTGTGTTCTCATCAGGCTTGAGGAGGACAAACTAGACACAAACCACAGCAGGATCCATGAGGAGTTTCAAGCAGTAGCTGCAGAGAGTAGATAGAATTTCACTGGTGCAAATGAAGAAAAAGCCATGCTTTTTCACAAGTGTGCATGTGTCTGTGTGCATGCAGATGTGTGTATGTGTATGTATTATATATGCATGTAATGTATCTATTGATAAGTATATGTACTTGGGTAATAGCACAGAAGAAAGTACTTATATAGATGCCTACTATCTTATTACCGCAAATGGATAAGTAAAAAAGAAAATTTCATAAATAAAGAAGAAATTGTAACATGGATAACATTTATTTAAAATTATATGTGTATTGGAGTATGTGTGTATTTCAGCCTAAAGTAATTAATAGGATTATTTAGAAAGTCTGTGTTTTAAGGTAGATTATTCAATATCCACATTATTGCCTTTTCTAGGACCACAATGAATTACCAAAACTGACAGGAAACTTTTGACCCCTTTGAGAATCTTATTTGAAAACCTTCCTCTCCAGTATAGAAAAAATTCTGCTGACGGCAGCACTCACGTCCTGGCCAAAAAAAAAAACAAAATTAAAAGCAATAAGTAGGACTTACCTGCTAACTAAATCACTAGAACCAGTGTAAAACCTAGGTTTTTTTAAATTATGTTTTCATAGACGAGGACGGTCTCGGTATAAGTATTATTGGAATGGGTGTTGGAGCAGACGCCGGACTTGAGAAGCTGGGAATATTTGTCAAGACAGTAACAGATGGTGGCGCTGCTCAGCGAGATGGGAGGTAAGGAAACGACTGCCGTTCACTACTTAAAATCATAGCGAACTTTTCCGGAAATGTCGTTTAGTGGTATCTTTTCTCTTTTCAGTTCTTTTAAAAACAGTATCAGAGTGTTTGTCATACAGGGAAAATGTGAAAAACACTTGAATTTCTGGTTTCTGGATAGAACATCTGTTTTAATGTACATTACATGGGGTTATGTGTGTGTCTGCCTCGTTACCCATCCATCCATCTATCCATCTAATGTGAGGTGAACAAAACCACAGTATATATATTTGAAGAGCTTGTACTGTGGAAGTCAGAATATAATTTTACTTCACAAATATTGAAGCAAATGGTACCAGTTTTGGCACTTTTGAAAATGACAGGTAATAGTTTACATTGCTGCTAGCAATGTAGAAGGATTCCTTTCTTCCTTTGCGGCCTTGCCGGGCATTTTTTATTATTCGATTTCTTGATGATGGTCACTCTGGAGTAAGACAGAATTTCAGGTTTTTTTTTTTTGTTAGTTTGTGTTTATCCAATGACTAGTGATGTTGTCCATTTTTTTCATGTATTTATTGACCATTTGTATTTCTTTTCTGAAGTGTCTGTTCATTTCAGTTGCCCAGTTTTTGATTGGCTCTTTTGTTTGCAGAGGGGTCTAATGTTTTTGTGTTCTTTATATATTCTAGATATTGGTTCTCTGTGTAAGGAGTAGCTGATAAAAAAACTTTTCCATTTTATAGTTGTCTCATGGTTTCTTTAAATGAGACATCCAAAATATAAATAAAAAACAAAATTAAAGAGAGATTAAATAAGAAGTAGGGAGACAAAATTAAATAGGAAGTATGGAGACAGATTTTTCTCAAAAGGCAAGGGGATCAAGGGAGGCAGGGAAAAGGGTGTCCCAGCTCCACATAGGGAATGTAAGTATTGTGTACTGCAAACGTGTACTAATAAAAAAAGTGAAAAAACAACAACAACAACAGGTAAAAGGAAAGTTAGGAACTCTACTTCCGTACTGGTGTTCATTCCAGAGATGATTGTTTCTCAAATTGTGTTCTATCTAAAATGACAGGTTCTTGAGTGTAACCTAAACCTGTAGAATTAGTCCCTAAGAACAAGGTCTGGCAGTGTGCATTTACACATCTGATTAGATAATTCTGATGCACAGCGGAGCATCAGGTGATCTTTTTTTAATGTTTTAGCTTTCATCAGCTCCAAGTATATCCATCTTAAATGTAATCAGTTTGAGTAATCACAAATCACACTACCTTGTGATGGTTAGAATTGGAAGCAGAAAGTTAGCAATAAAAATACGGTGGTACCTCGGTTCACAAACTCAACTCTCCACACAGTTCTGGTTGCAAACCAAAATGGAACAAGAACCGAGTCAGATTTCCCCATAAAGTTAACATTGAACCCAACCGTGGAATTCGATTTGGTTCTTGTCCAATTTGGTTTGGGACCAGAATTGTGAAAAAAATCAGATTCATGAACTGAGGTACTGCTATAGGAGTAGGCCCCAAAATATGACTGCCAAATCCAAAGAATATATGTTATTTTTAAAAGAACATTGAATAAATAGCTTTAATTGTTTTCAACATTTAAATATATATAATTAATTATTATATTATTACTGATTATTTCTTGTGAAGAAATTATAATGCATGTTGTAAGTAATTTGTGACTCTCTGTTGAGACCAATAAAAGTAGTATTTCTTTTATAATCCTAAACACATATACTGATATACATGGATTTTTTGCAGAGTACTAAATTGATTTAGAAAAAAAAAAAATCTCCTATATTTTCTCTGCCATGTGGACCACATTTCGTTTTGTTGTGTTGTGTTGTGTTTACTTTTTTGATACTGGGGATTCAAACCAGGCACTTGGTATTGAAGCTATATCCCCCAGGCCTTTAATTTTTTTAAAGATTTGCCACAGGCTATTGCTGAGTTAGTAAATTGCCCAGACTGGGCTTGAGTTGCAGTCCTTCCACCTCACCCTCCCAGAGCGCTGGGATTATGGGCATCCGCCCACTCCCTGGTCTGGACCACATCTTAGGTGGTAGCCTTGCCTGTATTCCCATAGTGTGCGGCATGGTACCTGGTCCAGCGAAGGCCTGAAGTGAATCTTTTGAGTTAATGTTCAGTAGGCTGCATGTGTATCACACGTGGGATATGAATATTTTGTGTTTCAAGTGTTTCTTCTTTTCAGAGTAGTTAAGGAAATAACCTCTTTGCCCTTTCAATGAGTTACGTAATGGTAGTGGTATTTCCAGTTAGTAATTTATCCCCTTTCTTCCAAGTAAGCTAAAATTTGTCTATAAAATCTACCTAATTTGTCATTAATTTGGATGACAAATTTGAAGGGACATTTTCAAGGTGATGAAAATAATTCTTACAGTGTTCAAAGAATATCAGACTTTTATGAATCATTCCTCTTAAATGAATTGGCCATAGTCCAAACTAAAGTACAAATGGAAGGGGCTGGGGATTTAGCTCAGTGGCAAAGTGCCTGCCTGGCAAGTGCAAGGTCATGAGTTCGATTCTTGGTACTGGAAGAAAAATGAAACAACAACAACAACAACAACAACAACAACAAAAAAATACAAATGGATAAAAAACCTGAGGCAGAAAGTTTTACATTCTCTTCTTGGGTCGTTGCTGGTGTTCCAAACACAGACCCATTCATTTTTTTTCCTAACTTATTTTTAAAATTGTTTTTTTCCTATTAACCTATTTAGTGATTATTTCCCCCATAGTTTCATCATTTGTACTGACATTAGATCTTTTTTATCAGTCCAGTACTTACCTCCTCAGTCCTCTTAAATGTTTACCTAGTATATCAGTCTTGCTGTTGTAATAAGTGCTTAATAAATACCTCTATGAATATATTAAGAAAAGCAACTTGATGTGATTAACAGAATCTCTAGGATCATGTAACTAGGAGTTTTAATTCCATTCCCCTCCAGTTACCCGCTGTGGAATGTTAAAAACATGACTTAATTTTCATGTTGTCCACCTCGCAGGATTGTTGTGAGCGTTAAATAGGTTTGGGAGAAGCACTGAAAAGTACTGTTTGTGTGTGGTCCTGTTCTTAAACGTAGGAGGAACAAGCTTGACGTTCAGGAAAGCCTTATTCTGGGAAGAGTCGTAAGAAAAACCATTGAAAGGTATACAAAATATGGAAGTTGAAGATACTTCAGAGATTTTTACCATCTGTCCATTTCCTTTTAGTGTGTGTGAGAGGGTAGAGTGTGTGTCAGAAAATGAGAAACTATATCTTTCATTGTTAGACCTGTGACAGTTTTGGTACCCTTTAAATTTTTTATTATTGTTAACTGGTGCACTCATTTGCACAATATCTGCATGTTTACTAGTAAAAGGTATCAATATCCAAAACTTACACAAAGCATTGCTGTTTCTAGTCAGTAATTTTTTAATGTTATGGTGTTTAACCTACTGATAGAGAAAACTATTGTATTAAGATTTTACAAAACAGTATGAAGAATATAATGCTACTCTCATATGGATATGTATTCTGTTTATTCACTTCTCTCTCCAAAACCCTAAAATTATACATGCCAAAATGTTGAGTGCTTCTGATATGGGGTGTTACAAAATTTCAGCTAATACGCAGTATTAAATGTTTCTAAAGAGATTAATTATGTGATGCTTTTTATAGTTTTAAAACCATAACTAAATGTAGCAAGGTTGTCATCCTGGGGAGGTTACTACCCTTCAGATTTCGTTTGTTGACAAAATTAAAAGTTCTGGATTAGGTGTTCTCTATGGTTCCTTTTTGCTTTAAAGGAAGACTTTCTATGTTAGTTTTCTAGCTAGTCTTAATTTCTTAACTCTTATTTCAATTTAATCTCAGATATAGTCACGCTTTCTTCCAGTTAAAAAATCTTGTGTTTAAATAATATATTTTATAAATAACATGTGTATATATAAATGTATTTACACATATATTTTCTCCTTCTTCTTTGCCTCCATATAAGAAGATTCTGCATTATGGTTGTTTTTAACTCCCTTTCAAATGGCTCATAAATTCTCACCACATTTTGAGTCCTTCTAAAAATGTACTATGGGTACTTATCTTGTGAGTTAGCCTGTGTGGGTAAAAAGTTTCAAGTATTCCTTATTCTTTCCTGCCGTGTCTGACGTTCTACAATGTCTTTCATCAAGATTCCATGTCTGTGCCTTCTCATATGTAGTCTTATCATGGGAAGTGCTCAATAAATACTTTTGAGTAAGTGAATCCTTGTGCTTTTTTTTTTTTTTTTTTTTGAGGCAGGTTCTCCTTCCAGTGTAGTTGAGATTAGCCTCGAACTCACTATGTAGCTCAAGCTGGCCTTGAAGTTGGAGCAAACCTCCTGACCCAGCCTCCCGAGTGCTGGGATTACAGGTGTATACCACATGCCTGGTGAATCCTTATACTTTAATCACTTTTGAAACATGTATTTGGGCCTAACATATTCCTTTGTTTTAGTTTTTATTTTTATATTACTTTCTGAATTGTAGAGTAAGTCACATAGAATATAACTAACAAGGATATTAATAATACTGTGCTCAAGGCAAATTTAAAATGCACTCGATATGGTCTTCTATGTTTAATTTTCAAATTTTGCATTCATTTTAAAACATTATCCTATTCCGTTTTAATAGGAGGAGATACCAAACAGGAAATTAAGGTGTCCTTCCGCAAAGGATGAGGATTTTGTTCCTGACCTCTTTTGGGAAATACAACATATAAAACAAATAAGGAGTCCTGCCCCTGTGCTTGTTCCGCAGCATCCTCACTCTCTCAGGACCCATCTGTGCTCCTGAGGACTCTCAAGCCCAGGAGAACCCTGTATAGAAGTTGCTGTTGTAATTGTATCTGTCACAGTCTCTTGATTGATGGTTTCCTTTCTGTGTACTCATTTTTTCACTTTTCTAATCTAATACTTTGCTAATTTTCCCTTTGGGGGTTGGGATATGGATGTTTTGATAATGCATTTTCACGTTGAAATTTTCACTAGCATTTTGGTGACAATCTCTGTTGACCGGAGTTTATGAATGTCGCTCCAGCTGTCTCCGAGCCAGTCAGGCTTGGTTCTGTGTTGACTTCACCTGTGAGGTGGGGTTGGGCTCCCCCTTTCCCATAAATATCATGCAAATAAATAACCGTCCAATAACATTAAACAAACCAGAGAGTAGCTCAGCTTACATGTTTTCATTAGCTTCACACACGTTGCTTCTGGTCTGTACGTTTCCAGGTGAGGAATGTCAGAAATATTAAACTGAGGGTGGAGAGCAGTGGTGTTGTCTACGCTTGCTGATAAGCACAGGGAAATTACCGAGGAACTGGCCAGGACGAGATGGCTGTGTACACACTAGCAGGTTCATTCCCGTACGTTCCATTCCAGAAGCCAGTATACGCAGGGAGACGGGCTGTTCTCTCTGCTGTTCTGGAAAAGGTTTGGAAAGTCCAGGTTACCCCTAGAACTGATTACGCTGTGTGCTCTGGAGTGCAGACATTTAGTGTCCATCGCCGGGATTCATTGCTTCTCTTTCCTGTGTTTTGCATTGTAGCCAAGATTTGAGAGCTGCATCAGTCTCACTCTCTGTGAAGTTGTGTTAAAGTTGTCCTCTCACAGGCTAGAACATGCAAATACAGGGAGTGTAGATGCGTTCCTCTACCGAAATGAACATTATGTTATGAATGGCTCCGCTGGCTCGTGTGCAGTGGATGGTAGGAGCTCATGGCGGAAGTGGACCTGGACTACTGCCCTTTTTTAAAACCATTTTTCTTATCTTCTCCAGTCTTCTTTGCCTTTCTTTCTTGTGCTCATTTTCAGTTGCTTAAGCTTGTCTTCAACTTAATCACACAATTGACCTCTATAGTAAGGTAAATTGAAAAGCCCCTCAAATAGCACACTGCACAGAATTTCCCTCCTTCTCTCCCTTCCGTCCTTTTTTTTAAAAATAAAGGTGTTTTTTATTTCCTTGTTTTTATAGTGTACCAGATTAAAAAATTTTTCCCTAATAATAGATTACTTTCAAAATGAGAAAAACAATAAAAAAGAAACTTTAAGAAAATAATAATCAAATAATGAGCTTTCTCATTTCCTTAATGCTCTCTGTATTCTGCCCAGGCAAGAAGAATTGCGTAGGACCACAATTCTTTAATGTTAGGAGCTCTCTTTTTCACATTAGTCTTTGCTCTCTGAATACAAAGAAAAAATGGAGCTGGATTTCTGTTGTCATAGGGACTGCTTTGCAGCTTGGATCTCTTCTGTCTCCTTTGTGAGCATTACCAGTGCTTTATTTTCCTTCGTGGAGATAAGATTTCCATCTAGTATCATGAGCCTCATCCTGGAAGATGTCCTTTAACATTTTATCAGCACGATTGCTGATGATTGACAGCTTTGTTATTGTTTGGGTGCTCACCTCACCCCTGGCACGAGTGTGAATGATCATAAAAGCATGTTTACACAGAACTGTGTGTTTTAACTTCCCTTTTCTTATATTTGGAGAAAACATTCTTTTAATTTTGGGTTATAGATTATAGATCCTTGAGTGCAGAACATTTAGCCTGGTTATTTCATTGTTGTACACATGTGCATGTCTAGTAATAAAGAGCAGGTAACTGTAATGCTTCAGTCTAAAGAAAACCTTTCTAGATCATTTCCCTACCTACAGTGTAAAAGTGTTACCGTCTGTTGTCAAATTAGCTTGCGCGATGACATTTTAAAGGTATAAGATTGTAAAGTTACAAGTATGTACATAGGTGAAAATTTGGAAAAGGTAGTCAAATGTAAAGAAAACAAGTCTTACATAAATCTAGGGTTAGGGTTAGGGTTAGGATCATGTAGAGTTGATCACTATTAAAATTCTGCTGATGGATTTACTTTTAGATTTTTCTCTGTAAATATGCCTTCATTTACTCAGCAAAATGAGGAGCAACTGGATATGCAAGGGTTATGTGCAAGGGGTGTGTCCCAGACCCCGGAAACCCTAGTGCTTGAAAGCACAGCCAGAAACATAGCCTGTATATTCCTCCATATTGCTGTAGATATTAGCAGTTTTACCAAATATGTATTTTTTCTTATCCTACAAAATTAGGGGCTGGGGATTGAGCTCAGCGGCAAAGTGCCTGCCTGGCAAGCACAAGGTCGTGAGTTCGATTCCTGGTACTGGAAGAACAACAAAACAAACAAAATTGAAAATTTTGGCTTTTTCATTTAAGCAAACATTTTATGACTTCTCTTGGTGCTTTTGAATTGTCGGCGTCCCTGCTCTTGTGCTTTGGGGCCATTATTAAGTGATAAGAGTTGCTTGAACAAAAGCGCTGGAATTATGTGACAGACTGTCTGATACCTGAGAGGACCACTGAGTGCCCGACGGGCAGGTAGTGTGCACCTCCACGAAGGGTGATGAATGCCCTGGGACTTTAGTACACTACCTAGAACGGCATGCAGTTTAAAGTTTATGGGTTATTTACTTCTGGAACTCTCCGTGTACTATTTTCAGATAACAGTTGACCATGGGTAACTGAAACCATGGAAAATGAAACTGTGAATAAGGGGGGATTATCCTGTAGTTTAGTTTAGGATTTCTGCCCCTCACACTAGGTGTTGAACTCAGGGCCATTGAATTGAGTCACACACACAAACCACCACTGTTTTCTTTTGCAGTTTTAATTTTGAGACAGTATCCTGTTTAATTGCTCAGGCAGGACTTGAACTTGTGTTTCTCCCGTCTCAGTCTCCTGTATTGCTGGTATTACAGGCATGTAACACATTTCTTACTATATGGCAGCATTGTGCTCTGCTCTCTATCATTTGTATCTTATTTAATTCTGCTAATACCCTTCATTAAATATAAAAGATATACTTCATAATTTTCAAAAATATACTGTATACTCATATTATGCTTATTCTTTTTCATTTATTATTTTTCTTTCAGAAAACCAATGGAAAACCTAAACACAAAGATTAGTATGGTGGTTATACCTATGGAAACAGTGAAGGGAAAAAAAATTAGAGACAAATAAATGGGCTGTATCTTTTATTCGGTGTATTTTCAGTAGACAAACTATGATTCCGTTAGGATCTGGTAAAGTTGCGTATGGGGTATGTAAGCATTTACTGTCTGATTCCCTTCCCCATCTTTCTGTGTTTAATACATTTCATTATGAAGAATAAAAATGTCACATATAGAAGATATAAATTTAAAGTATTATAAGTCAAAACATTATATGTGTATAATTTATGAATCAAGAACATAAGTCAATAATTAAACAGACCTCTGTATTTATGTGACCACACAAACACATACATATGTACACACACCCAGCCACACACAAGTATTACATATTTGACGTATACAACTATAGTAGGCAGAGTTCTTGAGGGTGCTTTTCCTTGAGGAAGAGAGGTAAGATGAGGAACTAAGTATTAGGCTAACGGGATATTTCAGCTAGATCTGTTATATTTTAATTAGGGGTAAAAAGTTTGTTAATATGTCATACGTTTGCATTTATCAGTTTTTTCATAGGAATATGGATGTGTGGTACACTGAATCTACTTGGTATTACTTACTTCCATCTTTCTAAACAGGTTTTTTTTGTGTGCATGGGTACCGGGAATCAAACTCAGGACCTTGTGCTTGCCAGTCAGGTGCTGCACCATTGAGCTGTATCCCCAGCCCTCAGAAAGGTTTTAAAAACCATTAACCACTTGACAGACACCTGGAGGTTATTGTATGTAGATGATGACTGTTTGAATAAGTACCAGTATCTTAACAACTAAATGTTTTATCAACCCGTTTATCAGGAATATCACTGCATTATCAGATAAATTAATTGTGGATCATATTTTTCAAAGAATCCAGGTCAATGACCAGATCGTGGAGGTGGATGGAATCAGCCTGGTGGGTGTCACACAGAATTTTGCTGCGACGGTTCTGAGAAACACCAAGGGCAACGTCAGGTAAATATGTGGTCTTAGAGATACACAATTTGATCACTATACGTTTTGTTGAATTTTGGTTTTCCCTTCTTTTACCTAAAAATGTAAGTACTTACAATGAAAATTTTAATTGAATACTAAAAACACTGGAAATCAATATGGTTAGTTATTGAGCTATATTAATTGCCAGTTGTTAATTGTAATGGTTGATAACAGTATGTCAACTTGAGAAGTCTAGGAGCTTAACTAAGTGACTCAGCAGTTCTACATCCTAGGGTGTAGAGGACATGTCCTAACCTGTAGGATGTTGTTCATTGTGTCAACTTGAGAAGTTTAGAAGTTTAGCTAAGTGACTCTGCAGGGGGCCAGGGTCCTCATTTTGTAAACATCTGAGCCTGTGTGCAAGAGGAGGGCACAGAGATGATGTGAATGCTACACCTGCCAGAAGGCAAGAAGGCTGTGTAGTGTAAGGGAAGAAAAGAGGCTTGCTCTCCTCTTTTGGCTCTTGCTGCTTTTGCTGTCTTCTGCTGCCTTGAACTGCTGCCCCTGTGCCATGTGCCACCCTGCCTTGGAGCCAGCTGATTATGGACTGAAACCTCCACAAACTGTGAGCTAAATAAACCTTTCCTTCATTAATTTTGGGCGTCAGGTATTTTGTCTTAGCAATGAGAGAAAAGTAACTAAGACACTAATATATTAAGAATTACTGGCCAGGCAGTATTTCTGGTTGTAGCTTTAAGAAATATTAATTTAGACCCTAAATCTTTTTACCAAAACCAAGTATACAGTTATAAAACCAATTACACATAGGCTTAATGAGACACATTACAGTGGTATCTCAGTTCACAAGCTTAATTTTTCTTTCCATGATTCTGGTCACAAATCAAATTGGGTGAAAACTGAATCAAATTTTCCCATACGTTCAACATTGAACCTAACCAAGTAATTGGTTTGATTCTCAGTCGACTTAGTTTGGGCCTAGAATCGTGGAAAGAATTAAGTTCATGAAACAAGGTACCCACTGAATTTAGACAGGCAGAATGGTTTGAGGTTAAGTATATTTTAAAAATCCACTTACTATGTTAAAAGAATTGGCTCGTACCAGTCTTTGATGGACTGTAAGTTTACTACCTTAATTGGACAGAAAATGAATAAAGAGCCAACTAAAGTGAAGGTTTGAAATCAGTTCATTTGGTAATAGTTTACTTTTTAAAAATAGTATTTCTTACGTTCTCATGCTTTTCCAAAATCCTGTAATGGAAGCATAAGGAGACATTTAATATGTGTAATTATGAAAGTGGCATAGTGTCTCATCATGGATTGAGACCAGCAAACATTTGGAAAATGTGCTTCACATAAAGAGGACACAGTAGAGTTTCACTGCAGTGTATTTGATGTTGTGCAAGCACGAGTTCAAGTTGTAGACTTTTCCAGGGGGAAAGCACTGTTTGATATTGAAAGGCTAATTTAGGGAATCAAGCTGTTGGTTAGCCCTTGTAGGATACTTCTTTGACCATTCACAGTCCTGAGGAAAGAAAGAGTACGGGAAAAGCCACTGATGCTGTTTCAAAGCTGAACAGGAAGACTCCTAATGAAATATGATCGGCTTTTTCCAGGTCACCCTCTGTTCTTGAGACGGCACTTTCTCATGTCAGTATCGCACTTGTTTTGGAGCTGCCCACCAGACTTTAAGATATATTAAAACATTAAATAAGTAAGATACACATTCAATTTGTAAGAACATTTCTCAGAAAAGAATTTGTAGTGATGTGAAATCATACCCATCCCTTTTTTTCACATCTGACTGTTGACCATATAATTTTGTGTCGTTATCAAAACTTGAATAGATTGCAAATTGCTTCTTCACCGATCTGCCTGATCTCACCTTTTTACCTCCTTCAGACGGTCTTAATCTTTCTCCTAATGGAATAATGTAAGTACAGTTTTCAAACATATGATGGGCTATCATAGAAAAGGGATTGACTTTCTTTTTACCCCAATTAGTAGAAAATTGATTACACAAGTAGTCGAAATAATAATCATGCATCCATCACATTCATCTCCTCTTCAGAACTGTCAGTGGCCCTCCGTTCTGTGTGAGATGTACGCTTCTGGGCCTGGCATTAAACATCTTTCATCACGTGATGATCCTAGCACTTGCCTTTATATTCATTTGATGCTTTGGTGTAGTCACACGGTGGCACCATGCTTCCGACATGACTCTTGAATTAGCCTTTTGGGGTCTTTCTCTCTGCTGTTTAAAATGCTGTCTTCTACTTAGAAAGCACCTCTCCTAAAGAACCTGTTGCAGCTCGTTTTCCTCCAGGATGTCCCCTGCAGCATCCTTGTCCTCTGGTGGCCCTTCTTTCCCATAACGCTCCTTATTTGCACCACCTTCTGATTTTCAGGTTACAAGGTACTCTTTTGTCTTTAAAAGGCATGTATCCAAAAGCGCCTGCCTGGCAAGCGCAAGGTCGTGAGTTCGGTTCCCGGTACCGGAGAAAAACCAAAAAAAAAAAAAAATAAATAAAAGGCATGTATCTTATTTCTCATTCCCTTGGCAAAAATCTTGATGTAAACGTGGAATTTTAGCTTCCTTTGCTCTTCCCAAATTATTTATCCCAGGATCTTAATTTATTGAAATTACTCCATCTTATTAAACTATGAAGAAAACACATTTCTTCAATTTTAACTTTTAAAAAATACTTGAATCCTCTGAGTATATTATTAAGGAAAAGCTTTTGATAAGATCTTAATAAAAACAGCATTCAGTAAATAAAATTGATAAATCCTTAGCTGACCTTACCAGTAAAAGGAAAGACTGAAATTCATGTTTTGAGGAATGAAAAGGGTTAAATCACTACAGAACCTGTGGAAATTCAGAAGATAATCAATACTTACTGTAAAAAACAAACTTTACTCTAAGATGGAAAACACAGAAGAAATGGACAGATTGCTAGGTACATATGAATTACCAAAGCTAAATCAAGAAGATATAAAAATTCTAAATAACCCGGTTAATGAGATTAAAAATGTAATTAAAAGCTTAGCAACAAGGAAAAGCTGAGGTCCTGATGGATTCACTGCTGAATTCTACTAGAAATTTAGAGATGAGGAGAAGGATGTTCCTTGAAGGGTAGATGTGGCCAACTCAGCCACAGTATTTCTCTTCTCCCTCTTGGGTCTCACACAGCTCATTGTTTTACTATAAGGTTCACGTGAAGCACCTTGGTACCAAGAAGTCCAAACTCTGTTTGTGGTAGGGCCCCCTCAACATAAGCTATTGTCTAGGAACATTTCTACTACATGAACACTAAATGACCAGCCTCAATCATTAGAAAACTCTGGGGTTCATTTCTTACTCAGGGTTCTCCTGAGAAACAGGACCAAGATGAGGGAGGAAAGGTGGATGGATGGATGGATGGATGGATGGACAAACAGATGGACGGACAGACAGACAGAGATGGATGGACAGAACTGGCTCATGAAGACCAAGAAGACCGATGGCAAATATAAGAGACAAGTGCTATAAAAATGTCCAAATTTAAGAAGAAATTGAGGCACAGGGAAATTTAAATACTTGTGCAATTCATACAATTGACAATTATTGAGCAGGAAACTGAGTACATGAGGTCTAGTTTCATCTGAAAAAAGGCCATTATCAGAAAAATCTGTTCTTGGTAACTGGTCTCAACATCAGAGAAAAGCATCAATAAATATTTTACGTGTTATTTATGGTTACTGACAGAATCATCTCTATGATTTGACTGCCATGCTAGCTATAGTATAATTCAGAACACATTTCCCTCTTCCACAAAGAGTAACACAAAAGATTTAATTAGTTGTCTAAGTTTGTGACTGCTGGCAAAATGCTAACACGAGGCTAAATTTTGTGTACAGAAATAAATGGAAAACAGTTTTGTATAACTTTGAATTAATCTGTTAATATCTAGTGATTTCCACTTTCTTTCAGTAAATGTACAAGTGATTTTTACCTCTTTCAAACTACTTCTGATTATTTTCTCTTAATGAACTTATAATTTATAGTTCAGAATTAATTTCCCCATATGTAAACATGGACCAACAAACATAATTTGGCTTTTAAAGATCTCCAAGAAAAGTATCATTTAGTATATTCTAGTAGAAAAATGAACTTTGAATTGCTAGATAAATCTGTTGATTCTAATTAACTGAGTCCAAACTGTTTATTTTTTATATAACGCAGAATGTGATGATGAGAACAAAAATTTATTCTAATTTGTTAACTATGTTAACATTGGGCAATGCATTCATCAATAATTATAAATACTGTAGGTTTTTAAACAGCTATTAAAACATTTTGTGTACCATGATACCCTGAACTATACAGTAAAAACATACTAAATATAATTAATCTAATTGCAGAGAAGCAGTAAATGCACCATACAGCGTTGTGGTGAAGTATGAATTAACCTAGAGCCCGTAGGGATGGAACAAGTGATCATTTGGAGTTGTCTGACGCATGGTTTCCCCAGGATCCTTGCTGAAAGCTATGAAATGCGCCAAATAGGGATAAATGATGTTTTGCAAATCTAGATCAATGATTAGTTTGAAAGTAAGATATAACAGTGTATCAGAATTGCTTTGTAGAAAAGCTGGATTTGTAACTGGTACCTGATTTAGTAGACTATTACGGTTAATTGTATTTGCCTTTGTAACTGGGCAAAGGTATGCCCAGATACTTTTAAGACGTCATCTGGGTATACCTATGAAGGTGTTTCTGGAGGAGATGACCGTGGAATTAATTGACTGAGTGAAGATCATCCTCACCAGTGCACCCACAGATGAAACAGAAACTTGGAGATGGGGTGAATTCAAGCACCCTGTTTGAGCCGGAACATACATCTTCTGTTACTCTTCCACACTGGCACTTCTGGTTCTCAGGCATTCTAACTTCAGTCCAGGAACTACCTCAGTGTCTCCCGTGGGACACGTGACATCTACTTGGCCACTTACTCTATTGCAAGTCTCAGTTCGTAAAT